ATACACACACACCAAAAACATACTGTAATGCTAAATGAAAGAAGAAAACAGAGCACAAAGTGGTACTAGATAAGTAATGATTATATTGGCTTCCTTGGGCTATCACCATTCAAGTTCCCTCAGTGCCAAAAACCACAGGACTGACCCTCAGGACTATGACCCACCCACCTCTGGGACTCCGTTTGCACATAAAATTCACCTGCCCTTCCCCAGCCGCAAGGCCCTGTACGATCTGGCCCTTCCTGTTCCCAACTCATCCCCAGCCAACCTTCATTCACTCCACCAGTGCCACCAGCTTCTCTCTGTTCCTTGACCCAGGAACATGCACCCCCGGTCTCTCTGTCTGGAATGTGATGCCCCTGATCTGCAAGCCCCTGATTTTGGCCTGGCTAACTGCTGCTCGAACTTCAGGGCTCTCAGCTTAAATGTTATGACCATCCATTCCAATGAAGCCCCTACCCACACCTGTTAGTATTTAACACAGTACCATAGTTTGTCCAGTTTTTTGTCTTCCTAACACTTATCACAGCGTATCTTTACATTTTTACTTATGTGATGATATGTTTCATATCTGTTTCCCTCACTAAACTGTAAGCTCCATGAGTACAGGATCTCGTTTGTCTGGTTCACCTCTACGTACTCAGCACACTACCCACAAGTAATAAATTCTCAATAAATATATATCCAGACGAAACAATTAATGGCTATTTGTCCTAACTTTCTTCATTTCATAGAAGGGAAAACTAAAGCTCAGGAGAAATGAGTTCCCCTACACCACTGAGGCACATGGTGGCCAAACCGGGTTAGAATCATGGCCACGGCTGCTGGGCCAGCACTAAGGACAGGAAAGAAACGTGTCAGGTGAAACTGGAAGTGGGGACGGAAGCAGAATTTCCATCTCCCTGTAAAATTTTCTAATGGCTCATAATTTTTTTGATAGCTTATCCCTTCTCATTAGAGAATGCCCCAATAGTGGTACTATCATTTATGCAAAAATTAGAATTATCTATTTTCCCAGCCACAAGGCTAGTTGGATCTCACTGAAAAATGTAAGGGTAAAGGCAAAAGTAAAGAGGCTGTGTGGCCACCCTCACTTTGTCACATGTGTTCCATGGAGACCTTGGCCTCTGGCTGAGCCTAAAACCAGATGAGCATCCTGAGAACTGTAGAAGCGCTTTCTCTTCCTCTCCCCAGCCCTGTTTGTGCTGAATGACTGCCACCCACACAAGTGAACTGTCACTTTGGACCCAAACTGACCTTTGCACCCAACTTTCGCAACTCAACTCAACATGTTCTCTGCTCAACAGAAACGGAAGAGAACTAACCCTGGCTGATGGTCCCCATGGATCTGCACAGTGGGACACAGGAGAGGGGTCCCTGGGACTCAAGGACACAGAGTGAAAGGACAAACACTGCCTTTCAACAGGGTTGCTCAGGGGTATATTGTTCAGCTCCAGGCTTTTACATATTCTTTCTAGTCTTCCTGGCAGGGGAGCCTCCTCAAGACCTGCAAACTAATGGACCATTACACATTTACCACTTCTTTATTAAGCATGTCCCATGTTCCAGGCTCTGGGCTGGACTCCGGGGCCAACTGTGCACACTCCGGGACCTTAGGAGAAGGGAACAAGCAACATATTTCCACACATTCTGGGCAAAGGTTATCACAGGGGTGCTAACTTCTTCCCTACCTAATGGGTAGGGCTGGTTCTGATCTAACAAAGTAGCACCAAAATCCTTAACAGGTTTCAGTGTGTAAACAATATAACCTAGAAATCCAAGCCAGGTGGATTGAGAAGTAGCTACCATTCAGAACTTAAGATTCAGGGACATAAAACCCTTAGTGTCAATAAAGCAAAGACTGCTAAATAAGGCCTGCTCCTGTAAGACCACCAGGAGATTGGTTCTGGGGCTGCTTTCATGACTGACCCACTGCGCCCCTCTGAGCCCCAGTTTCATGAACTGCACAAGGGGCAGGCCAGATCTTTCCAGCTCTGAAAATCTACACATCTGTGACCTGAAACAAACCACCTTTCTTTCTGATTCAGCAAAATACATTTCCTTTAGAGATCAGGAAGAGAGGTAACAAAAACAGGCTGGCAGGCAGTGGTGCAGCATCTAGAAAAAGCCTTTTTTTGTGTCAGGGTGTTTGTTGTGTCCCTACTTCCTCCTTCAACAAGAACTCTGCCACAAGGCTACAAATTGCCTTTGACTAAGCCTGCCTCTCTCTCTGATCCTGACACTTTTAAACTATAAGCAATGCTGAGCAAGAATCAACAAGCTCAAGACCAGTGGAGACCAGCCCAGTCTGGATGACCTAACCCCATATCTTACTCCAGGACTTGTGCTCCTGACTACTTTCCTGGCTGAGCACAGAAACCCTCTTCCCTGCCATTTCTCCACATCCAAGATGGGCACTGCTCTGCAGCTGCAAAGAATTTGGGGGAGGGAAGAAAAGTCACTGTGATGGTCTGGCCTGAGTGTCTCAGAGACCTCAGCCTCTGGTCCCAGCTCAGTTGCTGGTTGGATGAGGTAGGAGAAATACCTCCCCTGCTATGGGCCTCAGCTTTCTCACCTGTAACACCAGAGTTAGGACTAGACTCCCTTAGAGCCCTGCTTTCACTGCTGAGATGTTACAATTCTTTCCAATATTTACTAATGGACACAGCATGGACAAACCATGGCAAAGACAATTTCTCACCAAGGGGGTTACTGCTACCAGGATGAGATGAGGCAGGGGACCTGAATCACACAGTAGCTAAGAAATGAGGATAAGGACAAACATATAGGACCTGGGAACACCAGGATCTGGGAACTACCACAGGAGGTGGGGGAAAATCAAAGAAGAAGACACTTCAAGATTTTGAGATGGAGGACAGAAAAAATAATGTTACTACAGAACAGCAATTTCATACAGTGATTTAGAGTACCAACTCGGGAGTCAGATTATCTGGATTTGAAACCTACCCATGCTCCTTATTAGCAGTGTGGACCTCAGACAAATTACTTAACTTCTCTGTGTATTAAGTTCCCCAGGAAATAACAGTACTTCATGGGGACTTAAGAGGAATAATCCAGTTCATAATGCATTTACTGCCTAGCACATGAAACTCATCCTAAATGGGGGGTTTTTGGTGTTAATATAATATTATGTTCTATATTTTACTATTATTATTGAAACAAATAGGGTACAGATTCTACTCTCTTACTAATGGCTTTGAGATTCAGGTTCCCCACCTGCAACATACGAGGCTGAACAAAATCAGCATTTCTCAAACTAGAATCTGTATACATATTGTTGAGGGATTATATGTGAGTTCTCCATGAGGGTGGAACATTTTGTGTTTTCATTTCGATGGTCATCTAAACAAATTCTAGTAAACATATCTGGATTTTCTGAATGCTTTTTTTAAAGCTAAGTTCTGGCACAAAATTTCAAAGCCCAAGTTTATATTTGTGTTTGTGAATGTATTGGCACCAGTATAATCGTAGCAGACTAATGAGAAAGAAACAGATGCAGACTCTATTTATGAATGATGAGACTGGACTAAATGAAAGCCAAATGACATCGAATCAAGGCTGTCTAAGTAGAAAATGGATGGAGAATTGAATCATTAGCACAGAGTAACACAGACCGGCCAAACTCAAATGGATCACCACTACAGCATTCGCCACCATTTTCACATTGCCACTTGTAATTTGGTTTCAGCTAAAAAGCATTAGCTGTCTTATCACATTTATGGTGTGAATTTGAATTATATTGGTTTTTCAATTTTGTTCGTACTTACTTTGTAAATATGTATGGGTCACAGAGTTATATAATAGCCTACAAGTATAAGGGGTTTATATCTAGTTTTACATGTGTCCTATTTAAGTAACATAATAAAAAAGAAATTTAGTGAACACAAGGATACCTTGATATTTTCGTTCTTTTAAAGAAGGTCAAAGCATTATTCTAGTTGGAGAAACACTGAATTAAATTCTCTCCAAGGTCCCTTATAGCTCTTTGAGTCTCAGAAAGATGATCATTTTGATTAGAGACGTGTCAAGCTTCATTAAGACAGCCAAGTGGAGATGATCGTTCTTTTAAAGAAGGTCAAAGCATTATTCTAGTTGGAGAAACACTGAATTAAATTCTCTTCAAGGTCCCTTATAGCTCTTTGAGTCTCAGAAAGATGATCATTTTGATTAGAGACGTGTCAAGCTTCATTAAGACAGCCAAGTGGAGATGGGGGCTTAGAAGTCAGGAATAAAGGCAGGACAGGAAACAGATTTAGAAACTATGAAGAGGTGCATCTAAACCTAGAGGACTAGATAGGATCTCTAAGGGTGTTCAGAGACAGAGAAGGAAAGAGCTAACATCTGAGCTTCAGGGAGTTCACCCTGACTTAGAGCCCTCACACTCCTCTGTGGAAAAATACCATTCACCTGTGCATTAAAGATGATCTTCTCGAGATTACTCAAAGCATTATTGCCCCATCTGGGAAGTGAACGGATTAGAACCTTTCACAGAAATAAAACAAGTCTCAGTCATTATATCCCTCCAAGTCTATAATCAAAGCTGTAAGGAGGGAGTCTGAACTGACCCCAAAAGGTCCAGGCACTGACCTCTAAGAGCTGGGACATTAACTTATTTCACTCCCAACTCCCATGGATACAGGGACCCACTGGTGCCTTTGGAGAGCCAGGTAGCTCCCAGGGCTGCTGCAAAAGGAAAGAGTCAGGTAGTCAGAGGAAAATCTGTGCCAAGTTCCAGAGGTCAGAACTCATATCTGGGTGCCAACATAAGCCAAAGATAGCGTTTCTGCCTGGTTATAAATCTGCCCTCTATGATAAGCCATAGGGCCATATCAGAATCACATAGTCCTGCATCCACAAGAGCCAGATTCATTCAATCACTGCATAAAAACCAAGAGAATTCCCTTTCCTCCCTCCTCCAATCTCCACCTCAAAGCCGTGAAGAAAAGCATGGGAGAACCCCCTAAGAAACCCAAACTTACTGTTTGTCTTCTTCTGAAAGTGAGGTTCTTCCACAGCAGCAACCTTAACTGAGGCCAATAAGCCATGTTACTTCAGCTGGCACCCACAGCAGCCTGTGTGTGGCTCGTGTGGCTCAGGAGCCCGTGGAGGCGGTGGCCAGAGCTCACGGCAGGGACACTGTGGCTGGTCATTAACTGAAAGATAAAGCAGGAGGGGAGAGAGCTGTTAGTGATTGCGGCAAAGCATACGCCAGTGAGAGTTGTTGCTCCAGCCCTCTCACCTGAGCCCTCCAACACCCAGGTCTGCATTGTGACTGCTCCTCAGTGGGTCAGGAGTCCCCAACTTCCAGCCTCAGGATTCACCAGCAAATCTGGCTTTGGGAGGTTTTCTGGTGGCAGCCTGGGAGCTAATCATTATGGTGCTAGTCATTTCAGCTCCCTTGGTGTGATCATTTGGGAATAAAAAAGGCACCTATGCAAACAAACTTGAGTGAGCAATTTTAGGTGGCAGAAACATTAAGGATGTGCTGAATGTCGTATTGGAATTCCAGAGACCTGCCTCTCTTCTCTAAGAAAGTGCCCCTCCCGACATAAAATGTCAGCAGCATTTATAAATTTTGCCTTGAGCCTGGAGTGACTTAACGCTATTCCCTGAAATTTGCTGCAGACTAAATTTTCATCTGGCCACAAAGTTGGGTCCTTCTAATGATAAATGGCACCATCAATAAAGCAGTGTCCAAATTTGGAAAGCCACAGCCCATGCTAGATGACTGGGAGTAAACCCCGAGGAAATACCACCAAAACCTGGCTGCCAGGTAATTAGAACAACCCTAGCACTGTGTCTCTGTGGAAAGAAAACAATATCCCATGGAGAAACAGTCTGCTAAGGCAGGCAGGGCACAGCGTCTGTGAAACTGACAAGCTCCCACGTCAGGACAAATGCACACTTCCAGCCTTGCTCTACCTGCACCTGAACACATGGCCCAGCTACTCCTTGTCAGGTGGTACAGGTGCCTCCTTGGAGGACTGTTTTGCCATGCTGGGGCAAGAAGGGGTTCTCATGAACAGGGGATACAACATTCTGTGTGTCCCAGCTGCCCACCCAACAGCTGTATTTACATAATGCTGGAATAATCCCAAATAGTTATACTAAAGTTAAAGCTGGGGAATGGACAGAAAATGAAAACTGGAAGATGGGAGGGACACACAGATTAAAGCTAGGTCCTGTTGGCACTTGGTAGTCATGAACCCTCAGTAAAAGCAGAAACCACCTTTATTTAGTGAATAGCTCAGTTAATCACTGCAGCCTCTAGTGGAAGAGGGGTAGGTGAGACATTAGGGATGAGAAACAAGCAGCGAAAGGAGCTGTAATAACCACTGATGTCGTAACCACTGATGGGTACAAACCAAGTACAGGGCTAAACATCTACGAGTCCAAATGAGATCTTAATGCAGAGGTCAAGCTCTAGTAGGATATTACCCCTTTGACTCCCTCCCCACTTGGGTTAAAAACTTCTAGAAAAGAAGCTGGAGGGAATATGCAGTTTCTGAGATGAAGGAACAACCTACCTTTATATATTCTAATTCATTCATTGACAATCCCATAAATCAGGAATTCCTCTGAAGGAGACAAGCCTTAGGACCTTTTTCTTTTCTTTATCATTTGCTCAGCAAACCTCTAAGAGGACAAAGACCTCCAAAGTTTCTCACTCCAAAACAAGGAAGAGTTAAGCTGGCACTGCATCAATGTGCACTTCATTGTTTAAAGATGACAACTGGCATCACAGCACTGAGAGCAGAATGGCACTGCAAGACACATGCTTGTAATCCCACATTGTTTTATAAGTAGCTTAGGATAGGGTTTGCATTCCAGAAGCATTGAAATAAATAATTAGCTAGATTTTTCTCATGCACAATCTGCTTTCCAGGAATCAGATGATTTAGAAGCTAAATGAATCTTTTCAGATCCCCAAGGTAACATTGAGGAGGTTGGGACACACATTTCCCATTACAAAAGGAAAACTGACTTAACAGAAAGAGCCCAAATATGAGTTAGCCCCAGCTTCCCAAACACATGTCCTTGGCCAAGGCGTTAGGCTCTCTGAACATCGATTTCCTCATTATAAAATGGGGATGACAACACCTACACTGTGTGGTGTTCTAAGGATGAAATGAGACAATATAAGTCTGCAACACAGTACATGGCATAATGCAAGTGCCAAAGAAATGAGTTCCCTTCTCTGCAGTTATCTTTCTCCATTCTGTCAGTACCCTCCAGCAGAGAAACAGTTACATCCTGTCCAAACAGGACATTCCATTATTTCTAGCAAGTCCGTCCTGGATTTCTGGCAAGGTAGGAGGGGCAAAGTAGGAAGAATGAAATCTGAATAGCCTAGTGATGGAGTCCCTGAGGCCGAGTCCAAGTACAGAATTGCCTCCCATCAACCCTCAGTGGAGAAACTCAGAGAAAGAGAAAATACCTCTACAGGACATTCATGAGAAGACAAGAGAAAGGCCAGGAGGAGTTTTCTCAGAGAGCACTTTCCTGCAAGTGGGAAAGGTCCTGACCCAGCGACCTTCCAGGAGAGACACTGAGAAGGTTAGGTAGCAAGAAGTAGTCCAGAGCAGTGGTAGAAAGTTCTACCCTGGCTTGGCTGAGTGCAAATAGGCAAGCTCCCTGCCTCAGTTCCTGCCACCCACCTTGGCATGGTCCTGACCTCCTGCACAATTCCCTCCCCCAATCTCAGAACAGCATGATCAATGCTGAGAGCAAAGCTGTCCACAGTGGAGGGTTTGGCAATGCCCAAGCCCTTCTGCTCGGGTAAATGAAGCCAAAGGGACATTTCCACATTAGTTTTGCAAGGAGGTGAACAAACAAATCGAATCTAGGGGGGGGAAAGAAGGCAATACTATGTCCTAGATTTCTCAATGCTTCAAAGCACTTCTGCCCTCATACACTTTTCCAGTTACTGGCTGGAAGGGATCGCACTTCAGAATCATCGCCAGTCAGTAGGCCACTCTCAGCCTGCTCCTGAGTGACTGCAACAACTCCTTCACTGAGCTCCCTGCCTCCAGTCTTACCCCTTTCCCATCCATCTGCCACAGAGCACCCAAAGTTATCTTATTAAACCAAATATCCGAATATGCCACTTCCCCACTTAAAACTCTTCACCACCTCCTCACCACTCTGAGGATAGAGTTCAATCCTCATCAAGGTTTACCTGGCCTCCCTGCTAGGACTCCAGCCTCCTCTCTTACCACCACCCACCTGCTAAGCAATGCCCTGGAGAAGAATAGTCTGCCCTCCATAGCCATGGGTTCCACATCCATGGATTCAACCTACCATGGGTTGAAAATAGTCAAAAAAAGAAATTGCATCTGTATTGAACATGTACAGACATTTTTCCTTGTCATTTTTCCTTAAACAATACAGCATAACAACTATTTACATAGCATTTTCATTGTGTTAGGAATTATAAGTAATCTAGAAATGATTTAAAGTATCCGAGAGGATGTATATAGGGTATATGCAAACACTATGCTGTTTTATATTAGGGAATTGAGCATGCCTGGATTTTGGTATCAATGGGAGGTTTTTGAACTAATCCCCTGGAGATACAGAGGGACAGAGGCTCTGAAGGTGCTGCACTCTCTCCAACCACAGGGACCTCGCTGCTTGTTCCCTTCTTTGTCCTGCAACACTTTCTCCAGCACTGTTAGCCTGGCTAACTCTTCAACCTTAGGTCTCTACTTAGCTGTCATTTCCCCAGGAGTCCTTTTCTGCTCACCTCCCCTGCACTCACACCTGGGTTAGGAGCCCTTCCTAGGTGCTCCCATGGCAGCCTCTGTTTTCCCTTGCAGGATTTCTCCCACCTTCTGAGTCAGGGTAGGGACCATTCCTATTTCCTTCATCGCTGTTTTGCCTGGTATGCAAAACAGTACAGGCTTGTAGTAAACACTCAGGGAATTTTTGCTCAATTAATCAACTAAGAGATGGACATGAGAAATAGGGTCTCAATAAAATAATAAAATAAAAATAAAATAAATAAAAAGGATAAATTTTACTGTATGAAAATTTCATGTTAAAAAATGCTGACCCCCCTGGGCCGGCCCGGTGGCACACTGGAGAGTGCGCCGCTTGGGAGCGCAGCGGCGCTCCCGCCGAGGGTTCGGATCCCATGTGGAGACCGGTTCCTGCTCACTGGCTGAGCGCCGTGCGGGCGCAACACCGAGGGTTGCGATCCCGTTGCCGGTCACTAAAAAAGACAAAAAAAAAAAATGCTGACCCCCCAAAAATCTGTCTTCTATTATAATAATTAGCATATGCCACAAGTAAAACTATGCCTTGGAAGCCCTAAGAACTACATGATGCAAAGCCTGATTACTGTGCGATCCCCTCGGAAGGGGAATAGTAGATGAGTATCCATCACCACTTACTAATTCCACAAACAACTGTAGCCTTATTTCTGCACAACTCCCATTAGCCACACAAATATTTATGGAGGGCCTAGCATGTGCCAGATGCTGTTGCAGACCCTGAAGATGTGGCCAACAATGGTGAAGGCCCTGCTTTCACAGGGCTTCTACTCTATCAGAGGAGATGGAAAACAGATAAATAACAGCAGGTTGTTAAGGCGGTGGGTGGTAGGAACAATGAAGAAAAATAAAGCAGAGTAAGGGGACAGAGAGTGACGGGAGGGGAAGAAACTCCTTTTATCTTTACGACAATGAAGAGATAGAGTGGACCAGAGGCTAGCCACCAAGAAGTCACTTAAGTGACAGTCAGGATAACAAATTCTTTTCATTTTTCCCTAAACCAAAACCTGGAATGCCAGACAGACTCAGTGATGCTAGTAAAAGAAAAAAGAAAATACATATAGGTTCACAGAAAACTTGTTGGAAAGGGGGAAAGGTCCCTTCCTCACCAAAACATTTTGCCCTTTTGAGCTTGACACATACATTTCAAAGAGAGATGAGAGAAGAAAACTATAAAAAAGAAAGGAGGAGAGAGGAAGATGTGCTAAAAAGAAGAGGAGGATTTCTTTCCCATTTGGTGCAGCCAAAAGAAAAACAGGAACTCCTTCCCGTGACTGCTTCTATCCTTCTACAGCATTAAATCTGTCTGCGGAAATGTAGTGAGGAAAACAAGGGCTGGTGTTTGCACCGCTACCAGAAACTGTTTGTTTTGCAGTAAC